TCTTTCCTGGCTCCACCTTTGGCCTTCTTCCCCACAAACTCCCATCACGCACATTCCTGTAAGGACTACACGTGTTCTTCTATGTCCGATTTTTATTATATATTACAGGTTTGCATGGACTGAATTAAACCACTTCCATAGTAACCAGTACATCTGATAATATATATTGACACATAATAAGTAAAACCTGTGGTTCTTATAGTATATCATGTTCATAAAAAGGTACATATACTCTTATTTCACATAGGGTGGGTTCAATAGGGGGGAGGGGGGTGTTAAGGCAACTTTTGTGTGTCACCGCTGTACCCTCTCATACTTGCAGCTATGCATCTTCTTTGCACGGACCTGGAGGCTGGTAGATGGGCCAGCCACTGAATTACATGCATTTCCCCAGTACCGTGTGCTGTGGCCAGATCTCTGCTGTGCCCCTGCTGTTTCCAGTCCTGCACACACAGTCCCAGGACCGTTGGGACTTCTACGTGCTAACAGTGCAGCCATCCTCTACCATGCCAGCTCTGAGGCTTCAGGCTATTTAACTCTCTTAGGATCCGTAAAGGGAGTGGAGTGTCAGTCATAATTTCTCCATATTTCTTACCCGCAGCATAACAAGTAGTGTTTTTTGGGGGAAAAAAAGTGGAAGTTTGAAGTGGGTAGCTTAATTCCTTGAGAGGATTCATATATTCAGGAGCTCACCTGCGGATACTTAATCGCTCATGCTTGGTATACCTTTTTATTAACAAGCTAGTGTTTCCCTTCAGCACTGAATCCATTTTTTCCCCATATATGATAGCAAAATAGCGGCCAGGACGTATCGTGCTTCCTAGGACTTCAGCAACAAACCGAAGGGAGGCTCCATAAACCCTGGCAACCAGGAACTGACCCTTTCTTTGTCACCTAGAAGTAACTTTTTATGCTGAGTAAAGTATTAGGTGTAGAGTATTTGTAAGTGCTTAGCATCAGCCTAAATCGGTTCCTGTTTCAGCCTAGAATTGTACCCTAGACCAAAATGGAGTTAGGCTAACTCTCATACATTTTTTTTAAAGTCCTACCCAAGATGGTTTGCAGTTATCACATAGATTGCACTGATTTTTCAAAAGAGAAAAATCTGGTACAGGGCATGCTTAGTTGGATAAGAGGGATCTTGGTCAGGTAAACGAGGCAGTTTTAATGAGTCAGAGTCCAATCTGTCGTAATACCTTCGAGAGAAGTTAACTCTGCTGGGATCTTAGACCTTTCACTTCCAGATTACTGCCCAGCTTAAATCCACCTCATGTCTGTACTTACTGAAAACCAGTAGCATGACTGATAAGAGGTCAGACTAAATTTAAAAGCTATTACAGACCGGAAGAGGTCCATGGTTCCTGATACAAATGAGTACTTTGAGTAAGACCTGAGTCAAGGGCAAGATTTAGCTTGGGGCGATTAACTTCATACCTTACCTGTCTGCCCCTTCCCGTACAGCATCCTGCAGCAGTTTTCCTCCCCCAAAACAGACTTTGTTAGCATGGGAAATTGCCAGCTGCTAATTGCCGAACAAACAGAAACCAGTGGGCAGAACTGCCGGTGGGAGAGAAGTTGTTCTCAGTCCTGAAATGGGGTCAGTGCTTTTTCTCAGGCCACTCAGAACAGCGGGTCCCACTTACCAGAGACCTTTCTCCACTTCTTGGCTAATCTTTCCCACATAATTAACCACCACCTCAGCCCTTTTTCCTTGTAGGCAAGAGTGATGTCTGGGGCTTTCGGTGCTGGGGTTTGAGGAACGTGCTCTTGCTTCATTGTAAAACATGCAGCACAGAAATTGCCTGAATGCCACAAGGGAACTCACTGGTTCTTTCACATCAAGAAACTCTGCAAAGAATTATAATTTCATGGAGGGAAATTTGAAGTTACACATAGGTATTTGTTGGGGAGGGGTGTCTGAACTAACTTAGCCATGGGTCTTGAACAGCTTGGCAAGTTCAGGACCAGATGCCTAAGAAGGCAATGCAAGAAACCCTGAAGTAACCTATATACAGTCATAGGAAAGGTATTTTCCTTGCCCTTATTAGCAAAATGCTTGCTTATGCCTGGAGGGTTATAACTTTTTAAAATCCTTGTTTATTATTAAAACCTTGTTTATTAGATCGTTGCCACGGTTCTATGCATTACACTGGGGAAACCGGGATGTATCGTTATTGCCATTGCGCTCGGTAACGGGCATTTCGCCTACCTTGCACTACAGGAGATTCAGATCCGTTCGTGTTTTATCACTATATAGTGCAGGACCACTGGGACGTGTCATTCTCGGTGCTCTCTTGGCAAGAAGCATAAGCAGAATATGAAACACCCTCGAGGATGTCAATGCAAGGCTGAAATTGCCCGTGGTACTTAAGTTCTTTTCTTTTTCCCACTGTTTGCTGCTTCTGAACTTGGATGCTGGTCTAACCAAGAGCCCTAAAATAGCTCTGTTATTTCCTGATCACAAGATGGATGGAGGGTAGAGATGAATAAACAACATATATATCGCATCATGTATAAAAATACCAGTGTAACACAATCCTGTAAAAATGGATTCTCTGATTAAAATGCTTTTTCCATTAACTTCCCATATGAACTCAAGTATAGTGTTCCCCCAACTTCATTAAGGCCAGAATTTTACTGTTTGTTTCTAATGAATGCCTTGTATATATCTTTTGTCTTCTGTAAGTGTATTGTGTGGCGTGCAGGTCAATTTTTATACATTTTTGGTAGATGCACTCATTAAATTGGCTAAGTACCTAAAGAATAAGAGAGAACATCGGAAGGACAGTAACATAGCTTTAATTACAGGGACAGAGATTGTGATATTACTCTTTTTTTTCCCCTCAGCCAGAAAGGGCTGTAGATTAGAAAATACAGATGCTATTTTTGAAATGTTCATTGTAAGCACATTAGAAACAGATGGGAAATGTGCTGATAAGGTGTCAGTATTCCTGTATACGTATGTAATAGGAATAAAAAGCAGGGCGAGATTTTCTAGTCTATCTAAATATTGGGTTATTCTCTTTCAAAACAACATAATAGTGCATTTGGAAAGATGATCAGCTTGCAAAGAGAGGAAATAGTTCTTATTCAGGTTCTTCCTAGTGGGAAAAAAAGCGTAAATACACAACAAAAGGTGGAGGAAGGGGGAAAAAAAAAGGAGCAGTTCTGAAGGTATACCTGAAATTTTCAGATATCAATCATGAGGCAGCTTAGAGCATGCTGCTTTATGGCTAAAATTCCTGGCAAAAAGGTACTTTCCTTTTTCTGTAGTTTCCAAGTAGCAGGGAATCAAAAAAGCTGAAGGGTCTTACTGAAAAATACGGACTCTCGGAGTGATCAGACTGCTCGAAGATCTTACAGACTAACTGGTAACAGTCCCCATTTGGTACACAAATGTGCGAAGCTCAGTGAAGGAGCTGATGTACTAGTGATTCAGCCCAGTTAGCAAAATATTTAAATCATGCTTGAAAATAATGAATAATTCACATGACACATCACTGGAATGACCAGAGGCAGGCAGAGCAGAGGCTGCAATGAAAGAAAAAAACTACAGCTTGGAAAAACCAAATGCTACATAACACCATTGCTGACTCTGAGCAATTACACCCAGTCAAGTCAGCAAGTATCCAATATAACGCACTCCTTTGGGCAGTACTGTACGCATCTATGGGACAGACAGACATATTGAGGGGCATATCGAGTATACAAGGCCAGAGAGAAAAAGGAAAAGAAAAAAAAAAAAGAGGTACTTCGATTATTACACAGCTTAGTTTCAACTAGCTTTGACATAGCAAATTTTCTTTAAATTGCATAGACACTAACCCCAACCCTAACCCTGAAATCAAGAGAACTAGATCAGTTTGCACCAGCTGGAGATGTGATCTATTGTACCTGGACTCATTCATTTCTATTTTAAGGGGTCAAGTGGGACTTACGTGGCCCAGAGGCCTTGGGCTGGATGTCTGCACTGGGATGAATGTCATCCATGTAGGCTAAAATTAATAACAAAAGCTGAAATAAATTTGAATGAGTGGGGTTATACCAGTAACCCCACTCATTCAAATAGCATTCTCATGTCAATGAAAGAAATCTGTCAGGAGCCCTAGAATTAGCTGTTTGGTGGGGTCTGTTCTTTTCTGATACCAATACCCTCCAGGAGATGCACATTTCTGCTTCCTAATGTTTTCTGATGTCAACTCACAGCCTGTTCATTTTCTTTGACCTTCTCTTTGTTTTGTGCTAGGGCGAATGTTCTCAGAAGTGCTATTACATCTTTGTCATTGAGACCATCTGTGTGGCTTGGTTCTCGCTGGAGTTCTGCCTACGATTCATCCAGGCGAAGAGCAAGTGTCAGTTTTTCAAAGGGCCCCTAAATATCATTGACTTCTTGGCTATTTCACCTTATTATGTTTCTCTTATTGTGCTGGACGATGACCCGGGGGAGGAGACCGAGAGATCGAGCAGCAACTCCTATTTGGAAAAGGTCGGACTGGTGCTACGAGTCTTACGTGCCTTGAGGATCTTGTATGTGATGCGCCTTGCCAGGCACTCCTTGGGCCTACAGACTTTGGGGCTCACCGTTCGAAGATGCACCCGGGAATTTGGCCTGCTTTTGCTCTTCTTGTGCGTAGCAGTCACGCTGTTTTCCCCTCTGGTCTATCTCGCTGAGAACGAATCTGGCAAGGTCCTGGAATTCACAAGCATTCCAGCCTCATACTGGTGGGCCATCATCTCCATGACCACAGTGGGATACGGAGACATGATACCAAGAAGTGTCCCAGGTCAGATGGTGGCTCTCAGTAGCATCCTCAGTGGGATACTAATAATGTCTTTCCCAGCGACTTCCATATTCCACACGTTCTCCCATTCCTATTCAGAGCTGAGGAAAGAGCATGAAAGACTACAGTCTCAGCTCAACCGAATAAAAAACCCCAATCACTCTGCTGGAAGTGACACCTTCAACGAGACAGACAGCTTGATTTTGGAGGAGCCGGCCTCCCCAATCAAGTACAGTTACACAAGAAACTAAACCTGGCTGCAAAACCTCTGGGAGGGCAACAATAATTGATCGGTGTAATGTGCAAAGCCAAGCAGAGCAACAACATGGGTGACTTGCCATTTCTAACGCAATTTCTTTTCACCGACGTGGGCAGAACAGATTGATCAAGCCAACTGGAGTCTTGCAACGCACCACTGTGGAGATTGTGAGCCTTAAGGATGTTGAAGGTCGGGGGTTATTCAAACAACAAATATCTACTCTTCGCTACTGCTCACTTTTTATTGATAAAGCTAATAAGGAAGTCCAACTTTGCCTATACTAGTTATATAACCCGCTGAATTCCCAACACTGAATGAGTAACAAGCAGAACAGCTTTTGCTGACATAAATAACACCTGTTGTTTCACTTGCCTTTGAGTTTCCAATGTTCTTTGCAATTAACACCTAGAGCCAATTACCAGAATGGATTCTTTTAGGGCTACGCACCATTGCCATTTATAAAGTGCTTATGACCAGGCGTATAGAAGAATCCGTGATACCGATGCACATTCTATATCTAAAGCACTAACAAGCTTAAGTGAAGTACTGTATATGAAAGCTTTTACAGCTCGTTCTGCAGTCAGATGCTCAAATCTATAAATAAAGGATTGCACTGCTACTGTCAATGACTTATATAGTGCTTGTAAGAGAGTTTGCTTGAAATGCAATTTCAACCTGCCCTCTGTAAACATTTCAGATGAGATAGATGAAGTTATAAGTTTTCAGATTATTTTCTTTCATATACTTGAGCTAATGATGAGAGAATAAAAAAGGCATAGTGACTAAAAAAACAAAAAAGGAATCAGTGCTTCCCTGTGTATTGGATTGGGATGGTATCATGACACGTGAAAAAAGGTCAAAATGAAAACGAATATATATTGCAGACAGCAGACGTGGAATCAGCCAATAAATATTCAAAGGGTACATATGTTATATATTGTGAAGAATTATTTCTTGGCCTATTAGAATGGTTTCCCAGAGGAACTCATGGAGGATAACTCATTTCATTCTCATTTTGGGGGACATACATCTAGATGGAACAATGTACTAGGTCTCATGGGATATCCTAGATGGTCTTACCCATCTCTGCTTTCTGAGATACTGTGAATTAAGTTAATTAGGACTAAATCTACAGTTCATGGGCAGCACCTATAAACAAGGGCTATAGCTTTAATGAGGTACTTACATACTTCAGGTTAGGCATGTGTGTAAGTAACTTCATTGAAATCTATAGGATTCTCACCTGGTTAACTTGGGCAAGTATTTAAAGTTTCTTCTGGATCAGGGCTTAAGTAAAAACTTTCCTATCTGATTAATGGTCTTAATTATGGCATTTTTCAAATCTTATTGAAGCCCTGCAAAAGAGAACATTGTCATCCAGATTCAGAAAGGGCTATATTGCGTGCACAGCTGCAAAGTCCCATTTTCACTGCTGCGAAGTGAAGAGCCCAGTATACATGCACACCTTCGAGCAATTGTACTGCGAGTTGTATGGGGAATCACCTGAATTGCATATATGGATATGAAAATGAGAAGTTATGGAAGTACAGTAGCTATTCATACATATAGGGTGGCTCACTCTGTGGTGGTGGTTGAGAATCTAGGTCTGTGTGCTATGCTTTGTTTGACTCACTGCTTATATACAGCAAAGCAGAGTTATTAACTCATAGAAGGTCACATCATGCTGTGGTCTGGTAACCCAAATAGAGGAAACTTAGCAAATTATAGGGCTGATGCTCCAACACATTCAGGGCAAGAATGATATAGCTGAACCATACACACACACACACACACACACACACACACACACACACACACTTTTAGATATATAAAATGCATGCATATATATATATATATATATATATATATATATATATGCGCATGCATATGCATATATGTATGTATGACAATGTTTCGATGTTTCAATTTCAAAATAAAACCATTTTGTGTCCCATGATCATTTACTAGACCACAACTTTTCTACCTAGCCATAAATGATGGGTGTATTCCACAATACTGCCATCAGTGATACCCACTGCTGTGTAGTTTTCCACTCACTGCACACAAAATAGTTTCATTTCTAAATTAACGTTACTTTTTGAAACTCCTTTGTATGTATATAAGTCTGTATGTATGCATGTATGTATGATTGTACGTATGTACACACACCCGCATGCAAATACACACCCACCGAGTCCACCCACACATTCTGCTTATTTTATGCCTCCGTCATTGGATTTCTTTCTGCAGTTAAGCGTGCCTCTCTAACAGCAAGTCTTTGGATATGGTAAACCTTGGAAATACACATTTTCATTAAAACATGACCCTTTGGAAAATTCATGAAATTAGGCAACCCCATTGATTTTCCTTCTCAATCAATACTTTATTACTTTAAGAATTATTTCAACATGGTTATATGGAAAACTAACAACCCCCCCAATTGCAGTACAATTTTATGATCTAGTTGGCGCTGTTTCTGCTTTGAGCAGGGAGTTGGACTAGATGTGACCTCCTGAGGTCCCTTCCAACCCTCATTTTTTATAATCTTATGATTCTGAGCATACAGAATTAGAAAAGTGCACAACCTTTTAATTAATACTGAATGTGGCATCAGCTTAACATCTGATGGGCAAGTGACTTTAATCAGTCTCAAGCAATCTAAAAACTTTGATGATTCAGCAAAGCACTTCAGTATATATGTAAATCCCACCAAAGTCCATGCTGTGTAAGTAGGTGCTTACAATATTGTGAGGGATTATGTAGGGGTTACTCAGGTGCCAGAGTTATGTGTTTCCATCTCTAATAGACGTCAACATATAGCCCAGTCTGGGCTCCCCGGGTTTTCGTGGAGATTGTCATTCATGATTCACTATGTTATTAAAAAGGGAAAAAATATGTTGAGAGGAACATTTAGTTCCTGTGTAATTCAATCTAGTAATGAATTCAGTACAGGCAGTTGTAATTAGCGGATATTGTTGCTGCCAAGTACATATCATTTCATAAGCAGACTTAATTAAAAGAGCAGTTAAGGTACCTGGCATCCAGCTTCTCATCTCAAAAATCTGTTTTTTCCCCCAAATCTGAACACAAGAAAAAACAATAAGGAGCTTTAGGAAATGCTGTTTATTTTCAAGGCATGAACAATCCTAGCCTACATCTAGACCCTTCTTAAAGCATAGGTCTTATCACTATCCTTCACATGCCTGCAGATGGTGGCAACAGTCACAGAGTGCAAAGCTCTCCAACCAGCTCCCAATCACTGTCCCATGTTTGCAACGGTTGGTTAATGCTGTACCCTGCAAACCAATTAGCGACTATATACTCAGACTAAAATAGTTCCTGCCTCCCCTTTTTTTAGCCAGAGGAACTGATGAACGGCAAAGGGAAGTTGCTGAAGACATCCGAACTGAGATGCACCAGAGCTCAGGTCATAGAACCTGCCTGCTTTTGCACTCCGCAGGGTTTAGGGATCAAAGCCCTTGATCAAAACTGATCAATACTGTTATGGTTCCAGTGGACATCAAATCCAAATAAATACATAAATAAATAAATAAATAAATAACCGTGGCAAAATACTGTTATGGTTCCAGTGGACATCAAATCCAAATAATACATAAATAAATAAATAAATAAATAAATAATCATGTGGCAAAAACGTGGGAAATCATTCTCAGTAGTAATTCCCCTGCTCTTGGACTCTCTCCTCTTGCGGCCTGCCACAGCCCAAGCCTGGACATCTTCCAGAAGCACTGCAAGACCTTCTTATTCAGGCAAGCATTTAGCAAGCCAGGTCACATTGGGGGTTTGCTTGGACAGCTTGTTATGTAAGTATATATCTTATTTCACTGGTTTTTATGAGGCTATGTTATCTTGAATCTGCCTGGTGACTTTTTGGGGAAAGTTGGCATATAAAGGGTAACATATAAAGCGAAAACAGTAGAGACAAATACAAACCCACTAGCATTCATGTATCATAAAGGACATGGGGTTTACCATTTAACTCAGATAAATCAATCAGTGGAATTATGAGACTGATAAATTCCATTGCCATTTACTTCTAGAGGTACTGCATATTTTATGCGTGGCTTAAATCTAAGCAATTTATAACCTTGGGTCACTCAGTGCTGTTATTTAAATCTTAGCCAAATTCCAGAAGTGCATAAAAATGAATTGTTTGTAGTGATTATGAAGACCGAATCAAAACATTTCTGCTGAATACAATCTACTCAACATGCTCGACTTAATCTGATTCCTAATCTAACCTTGTTTCTTTCTATGACCCGGTCACTAAAAGCTTAAGTGCAGGAATGGAGGTAGATGTCACCTACTTGGACTTTAAGAAGGCCTTTGATACGGTATCCCATCCTATTCTTATAAACAAATTGAGTGGTTGTGCCATAGACGATTACACAGTCATATGGTTGGTAAATTGGCTTAAAGGTTGTACCCAGAGAGTGGTGGTGGACGGGTCGGTATCGACCTCGAAAGATGTGGGCAGTGGGGTCCCCAACACTCGGTTCTTGGGCCGGAGCTGTTCAATATCTTCATCAGCGACCTGGATGAGGGTGTGGAAAGCACTCTGTCTAAATTCACAGATGACACTGAACTATGGGGTGAAGCAAACACACTGATGGGAAGAAACAAAATCCAGGTGGACCTGGACAGGTTAGAGAAGTGGGAAGAGAATAATAGGATGCACTTCAACATGGACAAGTGCAAGGTACTGCACCTAGGGAGAGGGAATTACCAGCACACCTATAGGGTGAGGGAGGACCTTCTCGGCAGCACAGCAGCAGAAAGAGATCTCGGAGTCCTAGTCGACTCCAAGATGCACATGAGTTGCCAATGTGACAAACTAATTAGCAGAGCTAACCAGACTTTGTCATGCATTAGTAGGTGCATCACGAACAGGTCCAGGGAGGTGATGCTCCCCCTCTATGCGGCACTGGTCAGGCCGCAGCTAGAGTACTGAGTCCAATTCTGGGTGCCTCAATTCAAGAAGGATGTGGACAACCTTCTTCACAGGGTCCAGAGGAGGCCACTCGTATAGTTACAGGCCTGCAGGGTAAGCCTTATGAGGAGAGACTGAGGAACCTGGACCTTTTCAGCCTCCGCAAGAGAAGGCTGAGGGGGGATCTTGTGGCAGTATACTTATTCCCCGGGGGGGAGGGAAGCGGGGAATAGGAGATGCTCTGTTTACCAGAGCACCCCTTGGAATAACAGGAAACAACGGCCACAAATTGACGGAGAGCAGATTTAGGTTGGATATGAGAAAGAACTTGTTCACAGTAAGGGTTGCCA